CCCTATCAACTTTGTTTCTCTACACACACTTCCTGATCCAAGTAATCGATACTACTTGCTTTCCTCTTCGTCAATGCCTATCTTCATTGTCTTCAATATTTGTAACCTCTTCTTGGGGGAACCCTACTTATTTTCTGGGGTCCATCCCTGGTGTCCCCTCCATGAATCATTTTCTCTTTAAAAAATTGATTTCAGAGAGAAAGGAAGAGGGAGATAGAAACATCAATGATGAGAGAGAAACATTGATCAGCTGCCTCCTACACACCTGACACTAGGGATCATTCCCACAATCGAGGCATATGCCCTGACCGGGAATCAAACCATGATCTTCTGGTTCATAGGTCGATGCTCAACCACTGAGCCACAATGGCCAGGCAATGACTCCTTTTCTGACTCCCCTGTAACTCCATGTGGCTTCCCATTCCTCTGAACCATGCCATGTTGTTCACATCTTTCCTATGGCTTTTATATTATGGTATCATTTCCCCTCTCTAAGGGTAAATGGTGAACCCCTTGAAGGCAGGGGCTATATTTTTCTCATTGTTTCATCCCCCGATGGGCTAGCACAGTGCCTTGCTCATTGGACATCCTCAATATCTGTTGAACTGTGAAGAAAATCATATGTGTCTTTTTATAGAAAATAAGTGTGAAGGCAAGTGAAGTCATTCTTGGCTCAAGTTTTTAAAAAAGAGTGCCTCCAGTTCATGCAAAATACTGTTACTCACTCTTAACAAGTAATCAACAGCCAGTAAATTAGTCAGCCAGAGAGTGTAATTCAAAGCTGTAGCATACATAACTATGAGTCATGCTGGCAGCTGGGCAGTTCTGTCTTGCTGGTAAGGAAAAGAACATTCATCTGAAAAGACTATGGAGCAGCCACAAAAACGAACAAGTTAACCACAGTGTCAGATGTCACAGCTGGACAAACTGCCCACAGCAGTGGTTTCCAAGCCAGGCAGGTGGCACGTTTATATGTCTGACAGCGGCGAGAGAACAAGGCTGAGAAGGCCAATATTCTAGAGCTTCAGAGAGTCAGCAATGCCAAGCCAGTCACCGAGGGGCTCCTTGTAGCATGCTCTCCACAAGGAAGGAGTATGAAGGTATAAAGGGGTGTGTGTGAGAGATATGGATGTATGTTTTGCTTTTAACATGGCGCATGGTGCCAGTAAAAGCAGGAAAGTGCTAGTGCATATTAAATAATGTACAAAACTTAGGAGTGTTTTCTTTGTTGTTGGCTTTTCTTTTTTTTCTTTTTTTTCAGGGAAAATTCTTGATGTCCACATTCTCATTTATTAGTAATTCCTTAGAAATTATCCACTACTCTACACTGAATTTTATGTGCTCAAAGAGGAATGAAGCCTATTTCATTTTTTAAAAAGTCTGAGAAAGAATCAAGTTTAAAAAACAATCTGTATTCAGTTTTTTTAAAGTTTCTGGGGGTTATCATGTTTGAGTATTTTGAAGTATTAAGAATAAGTTTCTCACTAGTAGAGAATTTTAAAGAGGGGTTGTGAACATCTGCTAAGATTGCCTTGGTCCTTTTATTTGATTGGACCCACATACATAGAGGAATGACAAACAGAAATTTGCAATAATCCTATTTCTAGGAACTGTTCCTGTTGTGCAAGAAAGAAGAACATAGGGAATAATTGGCAAAACATGGGAGAAGGAAGGAAGGAAGGAAGGAAGGAAGGAAGGAAGGAAGGAAGGAAGGAAGGAAGGGAGGGAGGGAGGGAGGGAGGGAGGGAGGGAGGGAGGGAGGGAGGGAGGGAGGGAGGGAGGGAGGGAGGGAGGGAGGGAGAAAGAGGGGAAGAAGGGAGTAAGGAAGGGGAAAAAAGGGAGGAGAGAAGGAAAAAGGAGAGATACACCATGGGAAGGAAGGAGGGAGTGAGGGAGGGAGAGACAAAGACAGAAAGGAAGGAAATTGTAGGAGAGCAAGGAAGGCTCAGAGAGCTGGAAGGGTTGCAACCGTTGTGTCTGAGATGATCAAATGCGAGATGAAGGCTTTGCCATTATGGAAGATGATGCAGATAAGGCAGTGTGTGGCATTTATGTTTTTCAAAAAGCAACAGAGACATCAAAGTTAAATAGTAACTGAAAACATTCAAATGTGCCACAGAAATATAAACCATTAATAATAGTTAAGTTTCTAATGCCATCTAAGGATAATGCCAATCCTTGGAGATAGGTATTGTTAGACCTATTTTAAAGATTATGTAATTAAGCATTAGAGAGGGTAAATAACTGGTCTAAGATCTCATATCTGTTAATGAAATCACGGTTTGAACCCTGGAAGATTTCATCCATCCATCCAACCATTCCATCCATCCATCCATCCATTTCATCCATCCAACCATTTCATCCATTCATCCATCCATCCATCCATCCATCCACCCACCCACCTTTCCCACCATCCTCTCAACAGATATAAGTTGGGTAGTTCCCAACTGAGAACTACCAACCTCCTAGTTACTTACAATAGCTGGTGAAGAAAACAGACATATTCCTTGCTCTCAAGAGCTTATCTTCTAGTAAGAAAGGTAATCAATAAACAACTAAATAAACCAATATCTAGTTACAAAACTTGATGAATGCTATGAAAGAAATGGCCAGAGGGCAGTCATAGAAAATTAAGCAGGGCACTACCAAATTAGACAGCATGGCTCAAGAGGTTCACCAGGGCCTAAAGGATGGGAAGGCGCCAGCCTCAAGAAGGGAAACTCATTCCTGGAGGAGGGAAGAGCAGCTGGAGCACCGGGGGCAGACGAGGTTGGCAAGGCAGGGAAGGGTCCTGGCATGGGGACTGCTGCTGGTTAGGAATGTGAGTTTTATTCCAGGTTCACTGGGAAGGCAAAGGTTGGTTTTAGATAAGCTATTTGTGGGACCAAACACCACAATGACTTCTGTGTGAGTAAGGTCGGAGGCAAGAGTAGAAATGGAGAGACCAGGAAGGAGGCTCTCGCAGTAGTCTTGGACTTGGGTGATGGCAGTAGAGATGAAAGAAGGGCACTCAGACATGATCTGGGACATGGTTTTGTGGCAGCAACAAGGGGTCTTGCAGACAGAATGGATGTGAGGGGTGAAGGAGAGGAGGCACAAAGGATATCTCTAATCCTGGGTACTGCTCTGCTTTGTACGCCACTTGATTTTCTTAGCATGTTTCTTATATAGGAAGGTGAGCTAGATTTATACTGGTGTTTGCAAAGATGTATCTTCTGTAAATAACTCATGTGCTAAAATCTCAGCTTCTACCCCGAGCTCACCCTCTGACGGTAACACCACACTGAGGCATGCTGCCACACCCTGCGGTGTGTGCTGGAAAGAGAAGGGGCTCTCACTACACCACCTTGGGCGGAAGCACAGCTGCACCATTCTGCTAGGCAGAACATAAAAAAGGCACAACTCTAAGTCTCGTCTCAGACTTTACAAATACGGGTAAGAACTCTCTTCACCGTGAGAATGGAATAAGATAACTTATGGTAAGTACAGGCATGTCGTGGAAAGCCAATAAATGTTAGGCCGTCCCCATCCTTTCTCCGTTACAGTGATGAGATGCCACCAGCAGGCTCTTGGAGAACAGAGGCAAGTGCTGTATTTCACTGGAACACACTCCAGAGGAGGGTCAGCAGATCCTGTTATGGGTTCTAAAGGGTCCGTGCAGGGCAGCTCTAGCTCTCTAAGAAGCATCTTCACTGTGCTGAGTAGAAGAATTGCCAAATAAAATACAGGACATCCAGTTAAATTTGGATTTAAGATAAATAATAAAATTTTTAAGTCTACGTATGTCCCATGCGCCATTTGGGACATACTTATACTAAATGTTTTTCATTGCTATCTGAAATTCAGTTTTAACTGAGAGACCTCTATTTCCATTTGTGGAATCTGCCAGCCCTGGAACAAAGCAAATTTCTACTTTGGTTAGAAATAAAGTGACCCAAGGTTCTCCCTTTTACAGTTGCTTAAGATGCTCAAACTCTTGTCCGTAGAAGAGGTTATGCCTCTCACCATCATGGCTCTATACTTTTACACCTTCTACATTTTCACATATTTCATTCACATCCCCCTTCCCCCTCACTTTTCCAATAAACATTAACGTCCAAAATCTACTGAGTAGCACTACGTTAGGTACAAAATTTTACTTTGTGGTCGTAAAGCATGCTGCTGTGTGTGTCCAGTGTGCACATGTTGTGTTAACCTTTTAAAATGAGGATTAGTGAATAATGCATCATCAGGAATACATTTTGTGAGTTTTCCAGTAGCAGTGAATTATTGTAAATATGCATCCACATTAATGGACACAATTTAGATCCTAAAGGAGTAGAACCAGTTATGGAATAAACTGAAAGAGAAAAGCTTTGAGTTCATTCCATAGTTACCACCTATTGAAAGCTAAGACTTGGGAAACCTTTTATTTTAAATTAAACTACAGGAAAAGCATTTGAAAGTTTAGTCCATAATTTTATCTGCCTGCGTGCTCCCTTTGCATACTCAGGAGTTTTGTTGTTGAGGTGTTAAAAAAAAATGAATAGGCACATAACTATCCGATAAATTGTATTAGGCTAGAGCAGTGTTACTATTTGCTATTGTTCCACAACAAAATAAGGCGCTAGATCCAGAATGAAAAGCAAGATACCAACAAAATGTTGTCATGAAGTTGTCAGTTGAACTAAACAAAGTATTTAATAGTTGATTTTCACCCTGGTGCAAGCGCATTTTCTCATTGTAGATTGGTACCAACAATCTCACAGCCTGATGCCAGTCTGAGGACCAGATTCTGGGCCAGGCTCATGGGGAAGATCCCAGAATTCCCTAGGACATACCTTCCATATCATAGCAGACATAAATGGAGAGCTCTCTTCCTTCTGGCCATTTTGCGGACCAAAGATCCTCTCATTTCCTTGAAATAAAGGCACAGATATTCTCTCCATTCTAAGCATCTGACTAAATCTCTATCAAACAACAGCGGGCCCCGTTTTAGAAAGAAGAGGACGTGTGCTTACTCTTCTTGCCGGAGGTCATTGACGCTGCGGTCCAGGGAGATCATGTCACTTGCCACCATGTTAAATCCAAACTCTTTAATGCTGGCTTGAACTGCATGTTTGAGTTCTGGTCCCAAAACCAATGGCTTGGCATTCTCTCCATGGCCACCAACCACTCCATGAGGCTCAGGTTCTTTGGGTTCAAAGTTACCGAGGATCCCGGGGCGTAGCACAGGATCCCGGTAGGTGAATGTCTGAGGCTTAAAAGTGAGATACTGCCTCTGCATTACGTCTCTCTGGTTCTCTCCTCCAGCATGGTGCTCGTGTTCATTTTTGGCCTTGTTTTTTCTTCTAATAGATTCTAAGTCCACTTCTACTCCTTCAACATGAGGCCAGGGTACCACAGGTTTGAATCTGTCATCCCCAGGAACTAGTCCATTGCCTCCTCGGTTAGGCATGGGGTTATTGACATCTCTGTCTTCCTATACAAAAGGGAGGGGGATATACAATGAGTACATGAAGGCAAACCACAGCAGAGTTTATGATACCAATTTTCATGTCTTTAAAATGGAGGAGGCAACAATAAAACGGCTTAACGCATGAAACCGAAGCAGGCCAGTAATCAGGACTTCCATGAGAAGATACCTTGCAGGGAGTGAAGGGCATGGCAAGAGATAGACTATTTCCCTGGAAATGCATTATTTACTTCTCCCTTTCTAAAACTAACTATCAAAGATCCCCAAGGAAATGCATTGTTTACTTCTCCCCTTCTAAAACTATCAAAGATCTCTTAACAAAGCCCATTGTTGTGGGGTAGAGCAGTGAAGTTCTAGGACCTGTGACAAAAATAGACACTTAGTAGGTCACATCTATAATAATACAAGCATAATATACTAATTAGACCGGATGTCCTTCCGAATGACCTTCAGGATGAAGCTGGGGCTGTGAGGGAAGCCTGAGTCCCGGGTTCCAGATGGAAGCCAGTGCCAGCAGCTGAGGGAAGGAAGGCCTACTCTTGCATGAATTTCATGCATCGGGCCTCTAGATGTACAATATGTGGTTTTCCCGGCTGATGGCAGCGGTATTAGATGCCACCCTTCACTAGGCTGGCTACATGCCCCTAATGGCAGAGGAACAAGGCAGGCATATGCACCCAGCAGTCCCAATTTGGTATTTTCTACTCAGTGAAACCTCAGCTGATTTGAGAACTAATTTTTTTTTAAAAGCTCTAATAACTGTAACCAAGTCAGTTTGGGCTTTTAATCACACCCAATCCCTTCATTTTCCCATTCCAGATGTGGCCCTGGGGAAAACAGGTTCTGCATGTAAGGAGACTCAGTAAAGGCTGCCCATCCCCACCCCCTTTTCAGTGTGGACCGTTCTCAGCACGGATGCTGCTCTTCCAGTCCAAGACTCACAGTGCTTTTGCTCCCAAGGTGCAGTATATGAAGTTTCTGCTGAAGCAGTACTGTTCTCTGCATGAGGCAGTATTTTCAACCTGAGCATCATCCCAGTAGCTTTAAAATGTACCACTTTCCCACCCCCAGACTTTATGATTTAATTGTTCTGGGCATCCCGATTTTTAAAGGCTCCCAGGAGATTTCACTGTGCATCCGAGCTTGAGAACCTCTAGCTTAAAGGGAGAGCCGCTAGCTATAATTAGACCAGAGGAATTATTGAGTATGCAGAGCTGGGCAAGAGGCAAGGCGCATTTATAATGTGAATTCAGAACGACTGCAAAACAGGCTAACTGGTCTACCACCTCACTCTACACTAAGATTGTGATCCTTTAATAGATGCAGAATAGAATAGGTACCATCTGACCAAATGTTTCTCCAGTGTTAGAGTTATCTTAAAAAAACAGAATTGAAAGTTTTGCTTTAAAAGGTACAGAAATAAGGCTCTAGGTAGGATGTTGACAGGTAGGTTGTTATGTACTGGTAGTTTATTTAGGGACAAAGATCTTTCAGAGAGTCCGTTAATTCAAATGTGAATCTAGTTGATGTTTTGGTAAGAGCTAGCTAAGAACTGATTTTAAAGTTCAGCAATGAATTTTAAAATTTTATCTCATTGTTTAATGTAAGCATATGATACAAAATCCAAAGGATTCAAAAGGGCAAATTGTAAAAAGCAAGTTTTCCTGCTTTCCCTTCTGTAGAGGCCATTATAGCCAGCAGTTTCTATTAATTTTTCTAGAGATGTTATATGCCTATATAAATATACATGTATATATGCAGTGAGAGAATTCTTTTTGCACATGGGACATAGAGTTCAACTGATTCATTCATTAAAAGGGAAACCCATAGATGTTATAATTGGTCAAAAGGGAAATTCAAGGAACAGACAAATATATAAACATCAAGAATACAGCAAAAAGGGAGCACTCCTGACAACTTCCAGTTTGGCACAGTGAGATCGGAATAGATTTTTGGTCAATTAAAATCTCAAAATAAAAAATAAAAAAAAGAGTACTGCAAAGAACTTACAAGTAGATGCAAAACTGGTAAAATTGGTAGCTATCCAGAGGGCAATAACCAATCGCATTCCACAGTACACAAGTTCCTTTTCAATGAACAGGAAACTTTTGCATTACTTTCAGTTTTCTATCATTCACAGGGTTGTAAAAGAGCTAAAATATAATAAAAGGGCGAGGTAACCTTAGAAAGCTGAGACAGATAATATAACCAGTAATCTTTTTGGTCCATTTCAAAGTTGTTTCACAATTTTCCCCTGATAACACAAAACTGAACATAAAAAAATGCAACACTCAGCCTGATTCTATAAATATGTTGCCTTCCTTCAGGCATGTGTTATAGGCAGATAAAGCTTCTGCATCAGGCCTTTCTGATCTGCACACCCTCCAGGAGGGACTTGGCTGGAGCCTGACCTGTGAACCTAAGGATCAGAGGGGAAGAGGTAGAAGGCAGTCCTGCCTGAAATCTTATATCCATGAAGTCCTGAGGGTTCTTTTGAGAACCACCTCTTACTAAGGAGAGGAAGCCAGATATCACTGTATTAGAAATGCACGCACCGAAGCTGAGAAGTGATTGTGAGGTTGGAAAAAGTGTCCATTTCTCCAATTTACCTCCCGACTCTTTCCAAAATTATACTCACTTATGGCAGTGTTGTAAACAAACTGAAATAGAGAAATCATTATACAACTCTAAGATATTGGACCCCAAAAAGAAGAAACACATTCTCCCCCTTTTCAATTTTTTACAACAAGGCTCCAGTAAATCAGTAACTGGGGAGGTAAAAATGAGAGGAAGAAAATGTCAAAAAAATATAAAAAAGTAGGTTAAACAGGTCATCAGATGTCAACATCCATAACCATTGCATCCAATATGTTGTCTAATATCTCATAGGGGAAAAATTACATATTGGAAGAATGTGGAATATGATGATACACAAAATCAAGATGGCCAAATTATGAAATATACCAGAGGCCCGATGCATGAAATTCATGCAAGGGCCTTGGTCCCGGTCCCTGCCTGCCACTGCCACCACAGCCTGGGGCCTCTGCTGCCTCTGCCTTGGTCCCCACCCGTTACAGCTTTGTCTGGAAAGAAGGAAGTCCGGGAGGATGTCTAGTCTAATTAGCATATTACATTTTTATTATTATAGATAGTATAGTGTAGGTTGGCCTATGCCTACATAAAAATTACAAATTTAAATATTTCTCAAATTCAGCTACCTCACCAAGGTAGCTGAATTTAATGGACTCAAACTTCATGCTTATCTTCCACCAAAAACTACTTTGATCTTTTCTTAACGTAAGGGTTCTTTGTCTAAATTTTAACTATTGGTGTTTTCTACACTTCTATTAAAAGTCTATCTGTCATTCCACCTTCATTGTGCATTATACTGCTTCTAAGCTAGACAACCAGATTTATACTGATCATTCCTACTTCCATTTCTTTAGCCCACACCACATTTCTGATCTTTGGACCTTATCGTCAACTGCTTCCTGATCACTTCTGCTTATATCAACCTGTTCCTCAATTTAAGAAACCACAAATTGAACTTAATATTGACCCCACATCATAAGCCTGCTTCAGTTACTGTCTTTCCTACTTTGGGGACTAGAACCACTATCCACTCAACTGATCAAGAAAACACCTGCATTTCATCCTCACTACCTATTCTCTTTTATCAGCCCTGCTGACATCCAATCTCTCATGAATTCCTGCCAATGATGTCACCTGTACAGCACCTACATCTGCCACTTCTCTCCTCTACTCTTACCTCTTAACAGGATTACCACAACAGCAATAATATTGACATTACAAACACTATAATTTAAGTGCTTCACATTTATAACTTAATCCCAAGAATTAATTTCTACAATTACCATCCCTATTTTACAGACAGAAAATCTGACAGAGAAGTTACCTAATGTCAGAATCAGTACATAGTGGGGTTCAAAATTTGAATCTAGGCCATCTGTCTCAAGAGCCCATGCTCTTAACCACTATGCTTTATTTGATGTTGCTCATCCTAACACATACACTCACTGTCTTTCTTCATTATTTTTCTACCCAGTAGCCACAGTGACGTCTAAAATACTTTCTCTTCTTACAACATTTCACCACCGGCCCACTTCCCCCAGGAGAATTCATCCTGCTTAACAAGGTTGATAAGGCTGTTCAGGTTCCCACCTGCACTTATTTCTCCACCATACCTATCAGAGCAGGGATTGGTTAATTTTATAAGTAAAGGGCCAAGTGGTAAACATTTTAGGTTTTGCAGACCTCAGGGTCTCTGGTGCAATTATTTAAATAGAAGTCTGCCAATATAGTGCAAAAGCAGCCACAGACAATATGTAAATGAATGGATATGGCTGTATTCCAATAACACTTTATTTATAAAGATAGGCGGTGGGAAGATTTGGCTCCTGACCCCTGCATTAGACTATAAATTCTATGAAAGGGTGCAATCATGCTTGTCATCATTGCATTCCCAGTGCTTATCCTGGCATGTAAACCCTCAGTAAATATTTACTGAATAAATAAATGAATCCTAAAAATTCTTCTTTGTCTGAGAGAGACTCTGAGAAGAAAAAGAGAAGAGATAATAGAGAATATGAAATGGGAAAGGGGAGCATAGATAAGCTTTCTGGAAATACTTTATGGATTCAGCAAAAGAATGGTACATAACTTTATATTCTCTGCACAGTATTGTACTCTTAATAATGTTATGTAAAATTCAGCAGAAAAAATAAATTTGCTCACTTCTCAAAGCCTGTATGCTATTAAATAAATCTGAAGGGAAAACCAAATATGAAACTTGTCTGTCTAGTCCCAAGTCAATTAAGAATAATCATGTCAAATCTTAATGTTATATGATTCAAAGAATGACTATGAAGCTGTATAATCACTCAACTCCCCTGAGAAGGAAAACTACTACTTCCTTTCTGAGAATGAATGAAAATTAGCAGATGCCTTTGTGACTCACTGGTTCTGTGATACCTTCATAAGCACCA